AGCAACCACTCAAGAACCCAATATTCCAAACATTTTGTTATAATTTATTGATAAGAAACATTGATACTTTTCATTCATAACCACAGCTTAAATGGAGGTGGATGCAAAAATGTCTATTTTGTTCATGCAAAATGTGTGAAATTTTTTACCTGAACTACAATGAAAAATGACCTTTGCTTCTGCGGTTGTGACAATATTCAGCAAAAATATTTTTTATATATGACATTGCTATTTTGTTTGTTAAGTTTCATGTTTCTGAAAAATATTTACAAATATCAATAAATAAAACCTGGTTTTGATTACGAATGACTGCAAAGTAGTTGTTTTTTCGATGCTAAATTCCTCAAAATTTGCGGAAATCTCATTCACTTGGTTGCCATGGCAACCATGGCCTAGCAATATTTTGGTGGGCATTTTTCTTACTTTTTTACATCATCACATGTTTTGGCTAAGTTTCATGAAAATCGGTGACTATGTGTGCCGACCCCCTATATAAAATGGTTGATGGTTACAGCTTACCCTTCCGGAGCACCTGAGATCACCCCCAGTTTTTGGTGGGGTTCGTGTTGCTTAGTCTTTAGTTTTCTATGTTGTGTCATCTGTACTATTATTTGTCTGTCTGTCTTTTTATTTTTGGCCATGGCGTTGTCAGTTTGTTTTCGATCTATGAGTTTGACTGTCCTTCTGCTATCTTTCGTCCCTCTTTTACAGAGAATTGCACTTAATATTCTCGTAAATATGAATTAATTACAAATGTAAACATGGTAAATATGTAATACAAATTGTGTGTAGTTTTTAAAGGACGAAAAATTAAATTTTCCTTTTTTTTAAATAATAATAATAATAACAATAATAATAATTATAATAATAATTCTTTATTTAAAGAGTGTTACACAGTAAGCTGTAAAATAGACCAGTTTTACATAAGCGACTTATCAATGCTGATCTCGAAATCCTATGCGCGTTTGAGTTTAAATCCCGCAATAATTAACGATATCATACGTGACAGGGGGCTACATCAAATTGACTCTTATATTTAGCAACACAATAATAAATCAACTAATAATACACATCTCTCTCTCATGGTGTATGCTTGAGATTATTTAAGTTTAAGATATTAATAATCGTTTATTTGATTTACAAATTTAAAATAAAAAGATTTGGTATAATTGCAAACGAGACAACTATCCACCAGACCCAAATGACAGATGAAAGCAACTATATATCACCATACAGCCCGCGACAATGAAAAAATCCATACCGAATAGTAAGCTCTAAAAGGTCCCGACACAAAACAATTCAAACCTGAAAATAAGTCATCTTGTTGCTAACAGTTGTGTTTTAATATTAGTAAAATGGTTTTTTAAAAAGTATTAATCTTGTAATTGCTTTCTTTTGCCTACTGCGCTATGTACATTGCAGTATATCAGTTTGATTTTTCTTGAAAAGAGAAAAGTATTTGATAAAAAGAAAATACATTTAATTTCAGTTCTGTTCCAGTATCAATTCGCAGTTTTTCTGAAATATTTTTTTGCATCTTCGGCTTGTGACATGCATGTAAAGGGGTTACGGCCTACATATAGGTTTAGCATCATAGACTCAAACTTTTAATTTTCTTTAAAAAAACAGGTTACTATTATGGTGACTTTTACGTGAAATTTTATGGGTACAAGGACAAGTTACCGGCAATACTAAATACTCGAAATATCCACTAATAGTAGTATGGAAGTGAAAACCAAAATTGATAGAATTTGTCCTTATATCCTTTGTCAAAGATGTAGTATATATTGTGATATGTTAAAAATATGGAAAACACAATGATAGGTCACCGAGTTTTGTTTTTAAGCTACAGGCTGTAAAAATATGAAACATTTTGTATGGCCTATACAGAGAAAAATTTTAAGGTATCGTTATATGAATATTTGAAGGTAAAATGAATGATAGAATATCAAAATAAAATGTGGGAAGATATAGCTCTTATAGAATTCTTCAGAATACCAACAGAAAAAATTGACATGTAGTAGACAGGGCCTCGGCTCCGTGTGGAAGACCGTACTGTGACCTATAATTGTTAACTTCTTATACATTGTGACTTGGATTGAGAGTTGTCTCATTGGCAGTCATACCACATCCTCATATTTGAATGTATATTTGTTTCAAATATTTCTGCGTCAGTGATATTTTAAACGGCCATGACAATGAAGAGAGATATAAAATCAGTTTTAAAATACGTATCAGAAATACAGGTTTATCTTTAATTTCAAACATCAGACTATAATACAATGCATTCAATACCATTTTAATTTCTAAGCTATGTTCATGATCGACTTCGTCTGTCTATGCAGAGATTCAGTCCCAGCAACCAGAGTAATTTTCTACATATTTTCAACTTTATCAGTTTTCATGCCATTAAAATTAATTGAATATCCTATATTTACCACGCTTTGCCAAAAAAAAAAAGATCAAATTGCTGAATGACCCCCCCCCCCGCCCCCCCCCCCCCCCCTCCTAAATTATTAAAATATTCCCAGTGGCATCAAGGTCCGTACTGGCCATGATAAATAAATATAAATTAGGTACTAGGTTTAACATTTTAAATATCTGTATAAGGGGATGACCATTTGATTTTTAGGGGGGGATGTTTAGAAAATTATTATTCTAGTAGGAGTTAAATATAAATATGTAAGACCAGGCAGGATGGAAAAGAATAATCTGCAGGATGCAGGAAATAATTGTGTACAAAAGTTGAATAAATCAATCAAATAGTCGCCCTTTATCAGTAACTGTATGTATAGAGAAGGGTACGTTTTTATCAATTGTCACCTGGTGAGATTGTACAAGGTAAAACGAGGATTCCACATGGCTAAGGTGTTAGTTGACTTCTTAATTTATGACCTAATACTATGCATCTTCGCTAGCCAAAGGTTACGATCCACTTCCCTCCTCTCAACCCTTGGCAGATTAAGCCAACATTTGTGATAACAATGTTGCGCCATCTATCGGTAGATTAAAGTCACGCCCATTCCGAATACATTATTCTTGACCAATGGTAGCACTTGAACTCTTCAATTTGGAGGTAAAAACGCGGTAGCGTCTAGATTCTACACACTTGGTAAAACAGGAAACGAAAATATACGTTGACATTCATGCATTTGTGCAAAAAACATACACAGGAACTTCTATTAGTTGATTAAAAACATTCAAATTGTTTGGCACTAAATATAGTCGTATGTTTAGGGATGCAAAGACTTGTTGCACAATAAGCACGTGGCAATTGTTTACATACACTTTCTACATTTACACGTGCTCATGTTATAGGCGCTTTTTGGTTGGATGCAGTGAGTTTCGACTGCAACCAATGAAAATCATTATCCTTGTGTCTCCAAAATTCTATCTCAATCTGCCAAGGGTGGAGAGGAGGGAAGTGGATCGTAACCATTACCTAGCGAAGATGAATACTATGTAGATGAAGTGAGCCCCGCTTATTTATCTAATTTATTCTTCCCGTTAAGTGAACGACCTCAGCGTGAGTTTGTGACAATTAAAGGTACAATTAAAGCCAGGCGGCATACCAGATCGTATATTACCGCAACCAACAACACAGCAGTAGTCCGTTTTAAAATCTTTAAATGTGTCATTGTTAAAAAAGTTGTCTCGTCAATATAATTTATATATTTTGATTCAAATGATGCTCATGTTGCTTTGACATGTAAACGCAAACATTTAATCAGATGATTTTTTTTCCAAGTCTGCATGGTCACTGCTTATCAACCGTTAGCCCCCAGTTGATGAACTCTCTGAAATTATCGCGTGATTTCATAGTTTGGCTAATTAGATTAGACATGCGCAGTTAAATGTGAAACTGGTGTATTAATCTTCCCTTAGGCCCTCATGAAATACATCGAAATTTAACAAAGAATTACAAAATAATCAAACAAATACAACATTAGCTAACATGGCTAATGTGTAGAGTGAGTATGTTCACAGACGCAAAGAGTTGACTGTGTTGCGACATTTATCGTGATAATTTGTGTTGGGACATGCATGTATAAATGATTAACAGCAATGTCATTGTTGTACGTCGATTTCTTAACCAATCAAATTTTTGCTGACAAATACTAAACTTATAGAGCTCAGATAGACTGCATCCAGCAATAAGAAGATATTTAGAGTTTTTTTTGCATCTTAACATTTTGTTTGAGATTGAGGTGTTTACCAGACGTGATTTTGAGAAACTTAAAGGGACGCTTTCTCTTTAGTCATCGCTATCAATGCCAAACGGTCTAAACAATCTCTGATCGTCATGTCTAAGATGATAGCTGTATGTAAACTGGTACTGATTAGAATTGAGTTTTTTTTAAGGAGTTAGTTTCGGAAAGATAGCAAATATATATTCGTACAAACTTGGTCCTTCCTCTTTCAGGAGGAACAATTTGGAGACTAACCTTTCCCCAATGATTTTTATTCTACAAAACATAAAAAATAGCATTCATTACAGAAACTATTTTTCTAAAGAAAAGTTTATCATGTTTATTTAAGATTCAGCTAAACTGGCAAACATCTAATTTTATACACGTAGTTCTGAATACTACGTTTAAACTTACTTAATTTTAATTTTCATTATATTTTAGATAATAAGAGTAAAGTTTGATCTATCTAATTACAATAAAGATATCTGATTGCGTTATGTTCATATTGATTTCGACGGAACAAGCACGTTATGATAGATCTGAATTTTAATCAGATTGAAAATTTGATCATTTTCGATTTTTAAAGCTATACAATACATGTCTTTTATTTCAAAGAAAACGTCCGCAATAGAGAGGGACGGTATTTATGGTTTATTTTAACATTGGAAATTATATTAAGTAGTCCGGACTATTCAATATAATCATTATCCTGTATTTAGGGGATTCCGGTTTACAGAGGGGTCGGTTTTATGGGTTCCATTGTAGTTCTAAATAGTACGTTGATCTATTATAATTTTCATTATATTTCAGCTAATGGAGTGTCAACCATGTCATGAACAGGATCGAAATTCATCCGCAGAATTTTGGTGTACCGAATGTGAAGAAGCGCTTTGTGATTCCTGTAAATCCCAACACAAATCATTCAAGGTGAGCAAAAATCACAAAGTATCCAAATTGTCGTCCCTGTCCGTAAAGAAATCTTCTTCTGACAAACAGAAAGAAGATATAGGTGGTGAAAATGGTGAATGGGTTATGTGTACAGAACACGACGACAAATCTTTAGAATATTTTTGTATTAAACACGAAAAGCCATGTTGCATTCTCTGTAAAAGAAAATATCATCGACATTGTTGTGAAGTTGAAAAGGTTGAAGACGTTATAGATGACACTAAACTGGCAAGTATAACAGAGGATTTCTTATCAGGGATCGAGGAACACAAAAACCGCTTAACAAAAGTTGCAAACAACGAAAGATGTAATCTGAGAGATTTAGAAATCATTAAGGATACTTGTACAGCTGACTTAAAAAATACTAGAATTGCCATTGAAGAGCATTTAGATATATTGCAAAATGACGTCGAGCAAAAAATGAACCAAAGGTTTGAAGGAGACAGTGGAGAAATAAACAAACATTTAACAGATCTTTCAGCAAAATTTAATTATTACACCGATCAACAAAAATTGATACGGGATATTGCAAAGGAATCTACGATGTCTATAGGTCAAAAATATTTAAGGATATTGCGTCTGGAACATTTGAAGAGTAGTTATAACGAGAGTAATGAGACCCTTTCAAAATGTAATTTACGAGCTATAACTAATTACAAGCTGTCTTATGACAAAACTAGTGATAGCATAACCATATGCATTAATCGGACTTTGCAGGAGAAAAATAACGATATGGGAAACTTTCAAGGAAATAAAGATGAGATAGAATCTTCCTCTTCGATAGTTGAACTAGAAGCAACTAATTCAGAAGCTAAATATTTGCCATTGTCTGTACCAGTTCGAGATTCACCATTAACTTTTCCTGTGACAAGTGCACCTTCTTTGACCGCGAAACGCCGTGGTGTTTCGCCTATAGGACCAATACATGATTCCAGTATAACATATTGTTTACCTACAGCTCTTCCCACAAATGTTTCTTGTCCATCACCATCTGCAGAAGGTTCACCGTCCGAATTCCATTTGAAGAAGTCATTTTTCATTGAAAAAAGAAATAAAAATGCTTTCATTACCGATGCAAAATTGATGCCGAACAAGTACAACATAGCTATGGCAGAAAAATCTAATCGTAAATGTATGATGTACAGCAAAGATGGTCAGAAAAAGGGTCAAGTTCAGCTAAGTGGTGAACCAGATAGCATTGCTGTAATGCAGAGCAACCGCATAGGCGTAACTCTTGTTCATGAGAAAAAAGTGTGTGTGATTGATACAGATTCATGGCAGTTTATTTTCACCATTCATGTTCATGACGACTGCAAAGGACTCGTTTATTTTGAAAATAAACTCATAGCTAACTGCGCAAATGACGGGTTGATGCATATTGATTGTTATGGAAAAATAGTAAAACAAAATAATAATATTAAAGGGGACTTATACTGTCATCTTGACAATCAAGGAAATCTGTACACTGCTAAAATGAAAGCTAAAAATATTCATGTTCACAATTTAATTAACAATAAACGGTCAACATACTATATCAAAGGTCCAGATGATTTGACAGGATTGACTACAGACAGGAACAATAATTTATTTGTTGCATGCAATGACAATGACACAATTGTTGTGAAGCAGTCACTTCATTCACCTGCAAAGGTTATATTAGAAAATTCAGATGGCATTGACCATCCAATGAGTATAGACTACGATCAACAAAATGATGAACTTCTTGTAGTGAATAATGCGGGGCATTCAATTTTCATATTCAAGAGACAGTAGAACAATTTGTTTTTTCAAATGTTCATATTCGTGCACAATATTAACTGTGGACTCAAGCAAGGTCGAATCTAACATATTATTATATATTTGTAAGATCATATTTGTGATAATTTTATCATCCACATTTTATCGATACAGACAACACTAAGTGCTGAATGTTTGGAAAAACAACTTCAGGTCATTTCCAATACGATAGGAGTTTTAAACACGAGTTATGCAGATTGACATAGTTTTTGTCGAGCTGCGACTTTTGTCGCAGACATCTCGACATAGGGATAGTGATCCGGCGGCGGCGGCGTTAACTAACTTCTTAAAAGCATAATATTTCAGAAGGTAGAAAACCTGGATGCTTCATACTTTGTATATAGATGCCTTATGATATGAAGTTTCCGTCTGACATATGTCCATTGTCCTTGACCTCATTTTCATGGTTCAGTGACTACTTGAAAAAAAAGTTAAGATTTTTTGTAATGTTAATTTCTCTCTTATTATGAGTAATAGGATAACTATATTTGGTATATGCGTACCTTGCAAGATCCGCCTGTCAGACAGTTTTCACTTGACCTCAACCTCATTTCATGAATCAGTGAACATGCTGTATGCAATAGGTCAACTATATATGGAAATATTTTACCATGGACATGTCAGTCTGGCAGGTTTTATTGCTCAATGTTAAGTTTCTTGTTTTGGTCTGTGTTTCCAATATGTTATGTAATAGGTCAACTGTATTTGGTTTATGGAAATATTTTACGATGTACATGTCAGTCTAGCAGGTTTTATTTGACCTTGACCTTATTTTCATGGTTCATTGCTCAATGTTAAGTTTTTATACCTTGGTATGTTTTTCTTAAACTTTAAGCAATAGGTCAACTATATTTGGTGTATGGAATGATTGTAAGATGTACAGTACTACCTGTGACATTATCTTATTAATGGTGGCCATAAAAAATATGGTCACCATGATGGCCCTAAATGTCCATCATTATACCTCCTGTTGCTTAATTAATACACAAGGTATTAATCAAAAACTGGTCAAAGATAAAGGGAAATCGGTTATAAGGTTCATTCAACCTATGCCAACATTTTGAAATTTAAGTATAAAATTGTATGAAAAAATGTTGGCATAGGTTGAATAATTTGTAACGGATTAAACGTTATAACAACATAAATTGATCAGGAGCTAATCAATTTACAACAAGTTTAAACTTAGCTTTATATACCATTTTTGTTATTACATGTAATAGTAAAAATGTAGGTATAATTGTATTTGTTGAGGATCTCTATTTCATAAGGAATTGATATAAAATAATATATAAAAAAAAAGGAAAATAAGTGTTAATTTCTATAATTTTATTAAATGATCATCTATTCATATAAAATATATACCAGTGTCAATCTAATGAATTATATAAAATATTTGATAAAATATTTAATTCTATTTCAAATAGATTCCTTCCAATTCAAATACATAGAAATACTGACTATCATGACTAATACTATATATGGTACTATTGAAACACATAGTTCTGTATTTTTGATATTCTACTTTTTTTTCATGAATACAAACTCGTGTAAAATATCTATTTTGAATGTTCATTATTGAATCCTACAACATTGACACAGACAGAGAATTGTACAAAGTTCACTATGATTATCTCAAAAGTCATACACTTATTAAAACGAAGAAGATATGATGCTGCATCTGCATACATAACTGCTGAGTACTCAGTCTGGATTACTAGTATTGTAACCTTAATAACTGTTTGCTGTTTCTTCAGTAGTTTTACTTTGTGGTTGTCATGATTGTACCAATTTGGTAGTTTTGTAGGTATGTTATTGCGAGTATTTTAATGTTGCTTGACAACTACGTGTAGTGCATATCATGTATATTTTATCATATAGTCTGGATTTAACTCTGAACATGTACCCACTGTGGATTAGATTCTGCTGCCTAGTCTATTGGTAACAAACTGAATATCTATATCTAAAACATTTGGTCTTAGATGCATGGTTTTTTTAATTAGTTGTTAGTGGCTTTGAACTAGCTGTCAGTAACTGCGAGTACTCTCAGATCTGTACCTAATGTCTTTTTGTTGTTGGGATATACAAGTACCCGGCCAAGTCCACTCTGTGTTTTTGTTAGATGTATTTCTATTTGTATCCATCGGATGAGTTAAGCTTTTTTCAGCTGATTTTTATAGTTCGTTCTTATGTTTTACTGTTACACCACTGTCCCAGGTTAGGGGGAGGTTTGGGATCCCGCATGTTTAGCTGTATGTATGTGCCTTTCAAATAATTTTAAATAAAAAACAAAACGACACCAAGCACGTATTTCTAAAGTAAAACTAAGTAAATAAAGGCTGCACTTTTTTACTGGAAAACCGATGTTTAATAAATGAAATTTTTAAAATTTTATTTGATACTCGCTTTAAATTTCATTTTGCTAAATTAATTTGATTTAATACTTTTTGTTTTTATATAATTATGGTATGATAATTGTATATAGTGTTGCTTTTTTATTTGTATGTTGCATATTTAGTATAGGAAAGTTCATCATGAAAATTCTCAAATAAAATAGCTTAATTTCATTCTTTTTCTGTAGTACTACATGTACGTGTTCAATTTTTGTGTATTTTTATTATTAATTTAGTATTTACTTCAACACAATTTTGCTAGAATCAAGTGTTCTTTTTTATCATTTTAGTCTTTTTTTTTATTTAAATCATTTTTACTTAATAGTAACAAAACACTATTGCACATATTTTATTCTTGTTTTTTTTTTAATTTTCGAAGAGTAATATTTTAATGCTTAAAAATACTGACTGTATTTTACCTGTTATTAATTAGTAACTATTATAACAACACCTATTGTATTTTGTTTGTAGGCATAGGTTGAATATATATTTATCAAATGTTGGCATAGGTTGAAGACACCGGGAAATCATGACTGCATTGAAGTGTTAAAATTATATAACTTACAGGTAAAGTGTCTCAGGTAAAATATATGTGTTTGTCAAATTTGATAACTGTGTCAAGTAAATTCTAAAATAAAATGAAATAATAAATCTAGTTGGACATATAGCTTCCTAACTTTTTTTTGTAAAAATTTTCTCATGACTGTTTGTTTTTATGTTCATGATGTTATACCTTTTAAATAATTCTATCAATTTAAGTAATTTTTACATGTATTTTTTGGCAAATGAACAATAAATGAATATCATCTTCTAATATAATGCAAACTTTCACAATGCCTGCCTTTTTCAATGGAAAAGGTGTTTCTCAAATTTATTAATTTTCTAAAATCAAAATTGTTTATACTTACTGCATTTAACATGGTTTAACGAATGTTTAAGATGATTTTTAGGACTTGTTCTAAATAAAATTTAGGCAATTCATTAGGGCCCCGCCGAACGGCGGCCGCCCTATAGTGATCAGTCTGTCCGTCCGTCTGTTCGTCTGTCCGTCCGTAACAAATCGTGTCCGCTCTATATCTAGAGAACCGTTATGATTTCAAAGTTTATACTTGACATGTATATTAACCAACACCAGAGGGTGTGTCATAATGTATGTTCAATTTCCTAGGTCAAAGGTCAAGGTCAAAAACTTTGGTTTTAGTTGACAACCCCATGTCCTATGGTAAAGATCGTGTCCGCTCTATATCTTGAGAACCGTTATGATTTCAAAGTTTATACTTGATATGTATATTAACCAACACCAGAGGGTGTGTCATAATGTATGTACAACTTCCTAGGTCAAAGGTCAAGGTCAAAAACTTTGGTTTTAGTTGACAACCCCATGTCCTATGGTAAAGATCGTGTCCGCTCTATATCATGAGAACCGGTATGATTTCAAAGTTTATACTTGATATGTATATAAACCAACACCAGAGGGTGTGTCATAATTTATGTACAACTTCCTAAGTCAAAGGTCAAGGTCAAAAACTTTGGTTTCATTTGACAACCCCATGTCCAATGATAAAAATACAATTTTTTTACCACACATTATTCACAGCGGGGCCCACAGAGATGGCTCCCATCTCAATGATATCTAGTTATTTCTCTATTGAATAAATACATGTATATTCAAAATATTCATTACAGAAAAATTTGATAATATTTTTGTTGTCATATAAACATATTACAATTTAATCAAGTTTCTGACAAAAAAACCCAAAAACAATCATTATTATGCAAAGAAATAACAATTTTATAAGAAATCAAAACACATGGAAAAAAATTATTAGGTTTTGCCCTAAATTCTAATGACTTTTTTTATAAAGGAGCCAATATTTTAAACATGTTCCATGTTATAGAGGTTAAGCATTTCTTTTTCTTTTTGTTCTTGGTTTAGATTTTATTCATTATAAGATTCAAGATTTTATTCCAAAACTAGTCAGAGACATAATTATGAGAAGGTAAACAATTTTCAAATAGATTATCTCTAAGTTGTTATGTTAATTTTACAAACAATTCTATCCTTTATAGTAACTTTTATCCACCATTTTCTATTTCTAAATTATGACCACTAATTCTTTACTGAGTGAAGCATTTGAGTTTACTATTTTCATCAATAATTTTTTATTTTATTTTCAAAAATATTCTTATTTTTTTCTTAAAATTCATTTTTAATCAAGGGCTTACATGAATCTAATTCATTCAAGTCCCTGCAATTATTAACTTTATCTAAAAGGCCTGAGTTGAGTGAAATATTCTTTGCAAATGTATACCTAGAATAGGTATCATGCATATGCCAGTCCTGCAATTTCGACAATATAATACACAGAACAAAAATTGATTTAATTAATAGACCATAAAAATGTCACAATCTATATAGAAGTGTACTTTATTTTTACTGGAGACAAATTTTGCCTGTTAACTGACAAAATTAGCCAAACTGAAGATAACATATTTGATAAGTTTACAATTGTTTCAAAACGCAAGACAATTTTTTCTTTAAATAATTTCTTTTCATAAGATTTACTTTATTCAGATCAATATAGAGATAAGAACATTTTTCATTATGATTACCATATATCAAAATTTGATGATAACTAGGTAGCCATTTGGAAAATTTAAGTCTCTAGTGATTCATCATGCACAACTCCAGTTTTGAGATTTGGAAAAATTTATGAACAAAAATAGTTTATTCCTATACCATATAATGATATTTTTAGTTTTCCTGAATAATAATCATGAAAATAGATTGTACAACTTTGTTAACAAAATTTATTGTAAAAGGATTGATATTCGTGATATTGATAATTTTAATTAGTTAAGAAACAGCGGCTCTTTTCACAAAAAATCTTATGAGTAAAATTACTCGTAAGTCATACACATTTCAGTATAACTTACGATCAATTTTAATCGTAAGATTTTTTGTGAAAAGATTCGCAGGCTTGTTAAATTACTTGCTTCATGGTTCCTTTAAACATATCATTTTGCATGATTATAAGTTACAATTAATAATAATTCATTTGATGATGCAAACAAACAATTGAATACCATGTACATCATGTACAATAACTTTTTTATACTGTAAAAATAATTTAAAGGACTCTCTGTTATGTTTTCAAATGCTTGTCAATTACATTACTTATCTTTGAATTTTTGTCATTTCTACTCAAGATTCTTTCCAAGAAGAAATTAAAAGAATAAGAAGCAAAAAACAAATGATAAAAAAAAAAATTATAAAAAAAAGGAAAATATGTAAATATAAAGACTGAAAAATCAACAAATGATATGAATTAACAGACTAAAACAACATTCTATTCTACATTTTAAAGAAAAGGTGATATGTCAATTTGAGAAGAAACCTGAGTTACCTGTACAGGTAAATTTTAATGAAACATACAAGATGAAAACTTCAACCCTGATTGATTTCAACAGGTAACATAATTAGATAAAACATTAACCTATGTTTTATGACCTCAATAAATGGCCAACATCTTAAGATTGAATACCCCAATGAATGGCCACCATTCGATGGTGACCAAACAAGAGGGTGGACATAACTAAGAGGAAGTCACAGGTTGTACTGTATATGTCTGTCTGGCAGGTATCATCTGACATTCACCTTATTTTCATGGTTCATTGGTCAATGTTCAGTTTTCCTGGCTAACTTTGTTTCTTAGATACTATAAGCAATAGGTCAACTATATTTGATGCATGGAATGATTTTTAAGGTGTACATGTCTGTCTGGCAGAGTTCATCTGACCTTGAACTCATTTTCATGGTTCATTGCTCAATATAAAATTTCCCTGTTTCTTCATACTATAAGCAATAGGTCATCTATATTCGGTGTATGGAACGATTGTATTAAAGGTGTACATGTAATTCTGGCATTGTTTATCTCACCTTGGCCTCATTTTCTTGGATCATAAATCTTAGTGTGATACTTGTAGTAAAACTTTATATTTAGGACTATCAACATAAAATCAATGGTCAGTATAGTAGGCGAGACATTTCAGTGTGTGCACTCTTGTTGGCTATGAACCCAGGAAAATATGATAAGCATATATAGCTTATGAATTTGGTTATTTCTTAGCGTTACTCTGTGAAATGAATTTACCGATCCGCTTGTGTATGGTGCTTAAATGCAGGATTGGACGAATTTTAAATTTTTGAAAAGTACTAACGGTTGTAACTAGTAAGCAGACACTACCGACCCCTTCGGAACATCTTAATTAACTTCCAGTATTTGATGGAGTTCTTGTTTTTCAATCCTTGGTTTCTGTGTATTGTTTTGTGGACTCCTGTCTGATTATCATTTTTCATTCGACAATGATTGTGTCTGTTTTTCTTGGATTCAATGGTTTTTATACGCCCGTCAAATTTTTGACGGGACTTATTATGGTATACAAATGTCCGGCGTCCGTCCGTCTGTCTGTCTGTCCGTCTGTCTGTCCGTCCGTCTGTCTGTCCGTCTGTCTGTCCGTCTGTCTGTCTGTCCGTCTGTCTGTCCGGCGTAAACATGTCGCACCGTAACTTGAGAATGACTTATCCAAATTTCATGAAACTTAACATAGTTGTTTCTTATGATGGTCAAACGATCTGTATACTTTTTGGTGAAAATAAGATTAAAACTTTTTGAGTTACGGGACTTAGTAACTAAAACAGGTGTGTGTTTTTTTTCACATGTCGCGCCGTATCTCAAAAACAATTTATGATTATTGCTGAAAACTTTACACACTTCTTAGTTATATTTATCTTAAGATCTGTATACTTTTTGGTGATGATTCAAAATTTTATTTTAAGAGATATTGAGTATTTTGTTAAAAAAGGGGAAGGGGTTTTTCACATGTCGCGCCGTATCTCAAAAAAAGTTTTTGATTATTGCTTAAAACTTTACACATTTCTTAGTTATATTAACCTTAAGATCTGTATACTTTTTGGTGATGATTAAAATTTAATTTTTGAGTTATTGAGTATTTTGTAAAAAAAGGGGGAGGGGTTTTTCACATGTCGCGCCGTATCTCAAAAACGATTTATGATTATTGCTTAAAATTTTACACACTTCTTAGTTATATTAATCTGAAGATCTGTATACTTTTTGGTTTTGATTCAAAATTTTATTTTAGAGATATTGAGTTTTTGTAAAAAAAAAAGGGGGTTTTCGCATGTCACGCCGTATGTCAGAAACTATTTATGCTTATTGCATAAAAATTCACACACAAGACGACGGGCGTATCATGCGCTCATGGCGCAGCTGTTTATTGGTTACATCCTTTACATCTTTCCTTTTTAAAGAGTCAATTATCAATCCGCTATTGCGTGATGTCTTATCACTTGATATAACTTTTTTTAAAGGAGTAACACGACGGGTGTCACACGTGGAGCAGGATCTGCTTAGCCTTCCGGAACACCTGAGATCACCCAATGATTTAGTGGGGTTCGTGTTGTTCAGTCTTTAGTTTTTGTATGTTGTGTTTTGTGGACTGTTTGTCTGTCGGTCTTTTCTTTTTTTAGCCATGGCGTTGTCAGTTTATTTTCGACTTGTGAGTACTACATTGTCCCTTTGGTATCTTTTACCTTTCTTTTTTAACTCAGATTATTCTAGCAGATATTATTTTTGTTTTATCTACT